GTCCAACATGGAAAGCTTTGATGAGATCTTGACAAAAGCGATACTATATTATATCGAATAATTAATACCTAACTATAATCCCTCCTTTGGGGACTGTTCTTTCTAGGTATCGTTGCACTGTGACGACTGCGAGACTCTGTTGTCGGAAGTTGCCCGAAGCCTCTCTATTCAAGCAAAATGGAGTGGGCAATATTCGATAAGTGTAGCGCAAAAATTTATCGGACAATGTCTTGATGGTAAGCACCAGTAGCTGTGAGAGAATGTGCATGAGAAATGTTTCTTTCAGTGATCCTAGTACTATACGTACCAATTAGAAAATTCCAATGAAAAATTACGCCACAACCAGGCATGAAGTTTCAGATGTAACCTATCGCTTCACCCTCGGCGTTTCAAGAGTGTGAAACTGCCTTCGGCCAATGTTAGCGCAATTACTTATCTAATTCTCATCGTGAAGATGATTTTATAAGCAAACGGGCTTAGGGATCCACAAGCAGGTTATATAAACATGTGATCACATACGATGAGCCGCTCCGGTCCACATGACCGCGGTAAGATAACAGTAAAATGACTAGGCAGGTTGAAAAGTCCTCCTTATTTTTGAGTTGATTAAGTAACTTTGTCCTTTGCTTAAACGAAAGTGGTACTTGCAGTACAGGACACAGCTATTCCTAATTCAATCCATTTGTTCATTTCTTTTTTTTCAGGTTTTTTAAATAATTATATGTAAACATTGTTCAAGGAATCTTCAGTCCTTTACAAAGTTACAGGTGTATTTTCGTAATTATAATAACAGTAGTAGAACAAAAGCTAATGACGGCAGTGAGGCCTATACAGCGAATTTGTTTATGTAGGCAATCTGAAAACTAGCCGATGTCCTTATCGTTTTTGGATAGTAAAACGCAGGTGTAGCTATATTCAAACTGACTCGTTGATGGTCGTATGCGCCCTTTAGCCGAGTTGGCCTTATAATATTATTAGCGACCCTACTGACAATGCCGACAACTTCCAGAAATAAATTAGTGAACGGGGGCATTCAATACTGATTTGTGCAGCATGTACATATCTTATAGACATTTGGGATACTTTTTATTTTTACGGCCGTAGCTGTTCATCGCATCAGAGACAGACGGGCTATGCACAGTCGGTTGATAGTCACACAGTTGCACACTATGTAATGAATTCCACGCTGTTTGTGAACCCTTTGGATCGAGAGGCCTTGAATATGGGCACACTATAAAATTAGGGGCAGCTCGGACAGTCTTCTGGCTTATTTCATTTATCAAACGTTGTACATATCGTTGTACTGTATATACTGCATCGACAATGAGAAGTTAAGTATTTTGTTCCAATTAGAATACGCATGCGCGCTCTTATAATCAGGCCTTGGCATGGCTACACATAGACAGCGAAACATATACCGTTGACCCTAAATTGACCCCCCCCCCCCCCCAAATTGTTACTTGGCAAGGCGAAGCAAAAGTTGAGTTGAATCTTCGCAACAGCGAGACAACATGAGTACTGCTTTTTTTCTTCCTCATTTAGCTAGGTACATATTGTGAATTTAATTGAGTTATTGGTTCCTTGCAGGTATCAATGTGGCGTATCACTACCCACCTTGTTCGGGAAGTCAGGATCGTCTTCGAATATACGGATTAAGCGAAGCTACCGGAACAGAGACGTATATTATGGAGAAACGGCTGTACAAGGAACGCCACGCAATCAATCTCGGCTGTCACCACTTTGATGGGCCCTTTAGCAAGTTTTGCTTTCACTACGTGAGCACTGCGCACAATGGGGCCGTTCACTCGGTAGAGGTTCATTGCCGCCCCGTCAAAGATGGTGAGAGTCGTTTGATACATAATTTTTTCGAACGTACTTACCCTACGTATCATCATCATCATCGTCAATCTGGGTTCAAGGACTCACAGTAATAATGATAGTCGCAGTAGCAAGGAGTTTTCGTTTTGACGAAAAGCCGATAAATGGGTGCAGATATTACTAAAGGATACATACAGTGGTTCGGTGAGTCGAAGCGGAAGACTAGACTCATGCCTACGCATTGATTGCGCCATCTGCATTGAATTATAATGCATTCACTTTCATAGAGGCCTTAGCAATTCGTGAAACTATGCGCCACCTAGGTTATTTACGAAACCTCTCTCTGGCATCCTATTCGAGGCAGATTCATCTCAGTACGGAGAATGGGACGAGTGGACGCCGTGGACATTTTGTAGTGGCGGATGCGGCAGAGGTAGCCAGATGCGACACAGGAGCTGTTCAAAAAAGAAATGCCGGGGCGAACGTATCGAGTCGCGTGAGTGCGACCTTCCCGACAAATGTCCCTCTTCGTCGACCACGCTGCCACCTGACGTCGACCTTGGACAGGTGCGCGCTCTGCTTTTTTGTTGTCCACGGCCCTGTCGGAAAAGGCACGATTCGAAACATAACATAATATTTAGTTGTGTCACTAGTTAGACGAAACAGCAAACAACGCTGATATACATATCATCAATAATTAGACGATTAATGTAAATAAAAGAAATGGTGTTGTTCTTTATCTTCATTCTATTCTCCTGTTAAACACGCAGGTGGCCAGGTACTGCGCATGCGGCTGTGTTCTGGGCGTGTTTAAAAATACAACGGTGTACTTCAAGGCTGACGAATGCGCTCGTAATGGTAGCCATGCTTTGTGGATTCTTCGGCCGGTATTCCATAATGCGTCATCTATCATTGTTCGGCTGAGCTCGGCGCGTCTTGGCGAGCCGGACAGTAATTACCTGGTCGTACGGGACGGGGTTAACGCTGGCGGCGATATGCTCGTTACGTTGACAGGTGGCGACGAGAGTTCTCGACTTCCGCTGGAGCTACGTTCACCATCAGGCCCTCTACGAATCGAGTTTGTCTATGGAACAGCTGCGCCTGGCAAAGATGTCGACGTCCTGATGAGCTTCTACGAGGAGCTGATCCCACGCGGCGTTACGGCTCTGGCACAGATCGGACTGTTGCACAGGATTCGCCAATTGCCACAACTACATCTGGTGGCGTTGATCGTTGTCGGCTCCCTATTGATCGTCTCAGGAACGCTCTGCCTTGTTCATCGGGTGGCTTTGGCCAAGGTCATCACGAAACAACGAAGACCATCGGTTTTCTCTATACCTCCGGGCAACGTTGAGGGACAGGTAGTTACATTGCGTACATTGTTAACCAATACTCGCTGCAAAGGCTTAGAATTGTTGAAACTAGGCGGGAAATGTTTGGGGGATAGTTATTTAACCGCCGTGAAATGGAATGATTTAACAAGGGATCGGGTATTAGAGTTTGGGTTTGGACATTTAAAAAAAAAAATACGTACAAAACAGTTTTTTTCGACCTGGTGCGTGCATAACAGCTTTGTAGAGACAGACGTACCATAACAGTACTTTAATAACGTAATCTTTGCGGCTCGAACTGGAACGTTTCGCTTAACATCTGAATCAAAATGGCAGATTTTGGCAAGTTAAAACTTTTTCTGGTTTTATTATTGACTAACCTTGTTATGAGATTATACTCCGATTATAAAGAGAAAATATTCAGCGTGATTCAGTCGCTTCTATGTATACCGTCAGCATGAAACGGTGCCTTGCCATGACTGACGTCCGTTACACTCAAAAACAGAAGGCTCCTTGTGAAATACTGTCCAGGGGCCTCCAAACGTTGAATAAATACGTTTTTCTCGTTTGATCAGTTTGCACGCTCACAGCAGAGATTCGATCTTGACCACCTATTTGCTTAGATCCATAGTGCATTGTCAACGTGACAGGTCGCCAACGGATCGCAGAGAAGCATGCCTATAGCGGTTCGATGGTGATGCACACTCATCCAGTTAGAACTTTCTGATATGATCAATTAAGCTACTTAAAACTGGTTGGTGATTTTCTTATCAGATTTATCTGTGGTCAGAAATAAGCTACGATTAAACCGCAGTTAAAAGTTAGACACGAAAAATTCTGCTTGGGGTCTACTATTGGAACTTTGCCATTTCCTTGTAAAGGACGATCCCGTCGTACTCTAGCGTCCACCTATAAAAAAAAAAAAAAAAAACAAGGCAAATACTGGGTTTGTCCGGGGACTCGTCTGAACAACTAGCCTAAAAAGCAAGCGATCATTTCAATCTATTAGTATCTATTTCCAAAAAACAGCTAGTCAACTTATCTGAAAACAAGTAGAGGAAATATATGGGCTACAGTTGTTTACATTAATTAGACCTTACATTATACAAATAAGACGGCCTCCACATCATTGTTAAGCCAGGCACATGTGTCTGTTATAAATTTATGTTCGTAACGCAGATACTCGATGTTTAATATAGTGCTTCTTTTATTTCGTCAAACATGGCGCCTTAATATAGATAGCTACACGCATATCATATTTGACTAGATATCCTTATCTAACATGACCTAGGCAAAGATCAAACAGGCAATGCTAGAACGAATGTTAGACCAAGCTGACTTTAACCAGCGAATCTATAAATTTCGTGGCCGATTTTACAGAGAAAAAAAAGGATAATAGTTGAATAACCGTAGTCGTACAGCTAACTTTTAGACGCAGAGTAGATGACTGTAATCATTAGGATACCCAAACAAATTCTGTCAGACCTAGACAAACATTATTGGAAATCCTATTTTTCTAATACGTACATATAGTCCCCATGACGGCGCAGTAGCAACGTGTTTATTTCTTGAATTTCGTCACACGTGAGATGGTCATTCTAAATAGGGCATTGTCCGTATATGTTGGGAGCCAGCCATCGCAGAACATGTCTAACGCCCGCAGACTTTGGGATATTTATTTAATACATGCGTGTAATATTTTCATCTAAAAATCTAATTATCATCTAAGAAGAAAATCAACATCTATTGAATACGGCGCTCAATATTTAAGTCTAGTTCCGCGTATATATATATACACATATATATATATATATGGCCCTAGCCATCGTCTAAATCATCATGTTCTTCTGATTAAAAAATCATTTGCAGAGCCCTACTGATCTTTTACTATCCGGAGACTCATTAGAGACGGTGCTCTCACCTAGTCCACCACCGACGCCGACTCCGACTGCGGCCTCGGTCGAGATTCACCGGGTGCCTTCGCGAGCCACCGTGACACCGGTAGCCTCACAACCACAAAACGGCCTTCAGCCGCCCTCATCAACGGGGGAATCGCCACTAAAGAAGAAGGCTTCAGTCCTCGCGTCGTTAGAAAGCCTTGCCGACTTGACTGGCCTAGCTCGAAGAAAGCTACGAAAACGTAATACGAAACTTCAGCGACATTCTGTGATGTGCACTAGCTCGGAGTTTGGTTCCACGAGCGGTACAGGTAAGGTTTCATTTACGTACTGCTGTTTTCGCACTTCGCTGCTTGCGCGATACGGATATTTTTTTCAGTGCGCTGGAGAAATATACCGTAAGGCTGTAAGTCTATGGAGAATTTTGCTTGTTTTGTACAGACTGACACAGGGGCGCTATTATACACGACATCCTGCACTGGGTTTTGCGTTCTCCTGTGTTTGACAAAAGCTCCTAATCGAGTCAGGTGTAGAGGCCGATCTTTCTTCCAAAAAACCGTGTCGTACTGGCACGTTAACAAATGTGACGTTAATTTCCCTCCGCTAACAATGTGTTCTTCTGTGATTTTAGATGGATTCGAATTTGATGCGTACGACTACGGTTGCGAGGATATTCCGAATTCGTTTTTCAACTCTACGGCGGTCGTACTACCTCCCTTCCTATCCGAAAGGGATCTGTGCATGTTCAAGCTCCCCCCATCAACCGTGGAGCACATCGAGGTGCAGGACCTCACCGACTCGGCAGAAACATTAGCGCCACTTGAAAATAAAGCACCCGTAACAGTTCTACAATAATAGTACGAGTGCAACTGCATGCTGAACATTCAAACGAGCCAGTTGGCATCACGCTCACAGCAGCAACTGAGGAGTGACGGCAAAATGCCTCAAAGTTAAGTTGCGAGAAATGTCAAAATGCTGAAAAGGTTTCCTATTGAGGGTCAATTTTCTCAAGCCCATCGAATATTCATGATATCTGCTTGCCACACCCTAGAAATGGGCTTAGATCGAATAGCAGCCATTGGTGCGAATAAAACCCAGAGCTCCATGGTTTGGTAACATTTGTGAATTTTCCAAATAGTAAGGTGTAGAAGAGATATAACAAGTGTAAATGTATCAGAATTACATAGTTAGTTATCACTGCTATACAATGATGAACAATTCGGCGTTATATTTATAGGGTCAGTTTTGCCCGAGAAGAACCCTCCGATGATAACGGTTAGCACGATCCTTTAGTTAGGTTCCGCGAATGTTGTGACGCTGAATCCAAGGAAGCTTATGCGTGGCCACGTCGCGCCAAACCGGTGCAGTTTATCACGTGCAAAGGAAACGGCACACACGGGCATGGGTGGGGGTGCCATGGTACCCCACAGACTACCATGATAAGTCTTACATATGCCATTATATTTCGACTATTCCACTTCTACTACCAGTAGGGATGACGCTTCAGCTAGCTCTAAATCGAGAGCTAGCGGTAGGAACCGCTGTTCTTATCATTATACAGAGCCCACTTGAATGCGAACAAAGAAAAGTCGAAAATATTGACAAGTTGCTTTGTTTCTTTTAACTGATTGCTCAAGTCGAATCTTAAGTTCCTGATATACATTAGCAAAGAATAGCATGCCTAGTAGCATCATATACCTTCCAAGCACACACCTATAACAGTTAACTAAAATATTCGATAAAGTGACGGACTTTCTTTTTTGGAAGACTTTTGGAGATTTTTCTCGCGTTGACTACTGGCCCAGTAGGTTATGTTTTATCTATTGCGGGACTATTCGAGATTCCCTCGCTAGGCTCAAAGGCGATAATCCTTTAAATGTTTCCTAGTCCTGTAGTAAAGGGGTTTAGTTTTACATGAATCAGGACTTAACGTCGCTCCTTGATACAATGGCAGCCCTAGTTCTAGTCGTGACCGATGTCTGTTATTCTTGAATTGTATCATATAGTAATATATAGCTACTACAGTGTGATACGACAAAAAGAAGTTCCTTTCCAACCAGGCTTGGCTCCTAGTAAAGCAACGTACAGGGGACCCTCGTGAAATCACATCAAATACATAAGCTACATATAATTGTCGAACAAACATGGAATCGGTCATTCGATTGTTGGCTCCCATTATATCTACAGAGTATATGTAAATTTACAGACTGCGGACTGACAATGGCAGAAAACAGCAGTATTCCTCTACAGTCAAAAGAAGCGAATAGTGACTGATGACGATAAAATAAATTTCTATTAAAAATGTTAGGAAAGCTCTGCTCCGACAAATACTAAAGCATGTAAACAAACGTTGGTAGATACGCGAACGACAACCCCCAAAGGCGCAATGAACCAAACGACAAATGCTTTGTTGAACGCTAACCAACAATAACTATCCTACTATTTGCCGAAACGTAAAATATCCCCAATTTGTATATACATGTAATCTAAATGTAAATAATAACAATCAAGGATAGTATAACATTAAGAAGCAAAATAAAACCGACTGTCTGTATGAGGTAAGTGTGTTTACTTCACGAGCCTTTCCGAGCTTTACTTCACGAAGCTTTACGAGCACAATCGGATCTTGCGCCTTCGTTAATAGGGAATCGTCCGTATATCAATACATTCAATTCGTACAGGGGAGAAGGCAACAGTCGGGGTTGACAGTTTGTAGAAAAAGTAGGCTCGGAATTGGCAAAAGCTAGGTTTAAGGCTCACGCGTCCCTATAATGGCGAGGTAGTAACGTGTTCGACTCTTCAATGTTGCGGAACATGGTGACATAGTTTCGAATTTGGGCGTAACACAGTTCGTGCTGTCCTGATAGAAAAAATCATCGGCCTAAAACGTCGTTTTACTATGGAAGTGAAGTGATTTTTTTAGAGTCGTGCATTTTGATGCAGAGACGGTAAATAAATAAGTCGATCGTTATGCGTGAACAAACAAGTAGCAGATATGAATCAAAGTGCGGCGTGCTTAGTAGTATTGGGATTACAAAATGGCTCATCTAGGGTAGCGTAAATGTTACTACGTGTCTGTAAATAGTCTTTTGTTATAATTGATTCGGTAACTTGGTTTACCAATATACAGATAGTGCTAGAGGCTGGTAGGACGTTCAATGGTGTTAATTTTTTCGTATAAATATGCTAGCAATGTATACCTTTCCCTCAAAAGAAATACGCCTTTACCCCATTTCAATGCAAATCGAGAATAGTATTGCCTTTTCTAAATTATTCGCGGACAATTTATGCGATCAGTAGAAAGTAGAAGGAGTCGAAATTTTCATAATTATTCTATATTCCAATGGGTGGACTAATCGAACTCGAAAAAACAATGATCAGAAAATTCAAGTAGTTAATAATAAATTTCTTAAGACTTGAACTTGCGAACTACGAAGGTCAGGATTTTGCTGAATCACCTAGCGACAGGATAGATTTCATCCAATTAGCCGGAATCTATAACTACACGCAACGAAGACATTGTCAGTTCTGTGCTTTTTTAGCACCTTTTTATTAAATCTCTATTTTGCGAAGCCTTCTCCTTCCAAACAAGTCGTTTCCTGCGCTTGTCTCCTGCGTAACCTGACAGAGTTCGACAGTCTTTTGGTTATGACTTCTATTTGATATCAGTTTTTCGAGGTGACATAAGTGGAAATTGATTCTAGTAGGCTCAGGTATCGTTTACTGACCATCAGGGCAGTTTATCTCTAACGGCCATTGGTTACCAATGATTTTATGTTGTCCTGCGTAACCCTTGCTATTGACTTTCCTCGACGATCGTAAAAACAAAGCCCAACATGAGCTTTAACTAGTTCTCTTACAGGCTGTCGTGATAATGGACCTCTGCTTTGCACTTAGTGTAGCGTGACTTTCTTTCTCCTTTGGGATTTCTACTCCTACATCAGCAGACAATGCCCCAGGGTATTGGGAAACCATCCACAAACAGATTAAATGTTTCGAATATATTCAATAGAGTCGAAATTACCTCTTACGTCCACAGGAAACCTGCAACCAGGTACCGGTCAGCAGTCGGCAGATCTAATATTTGGTATATTACTAGCAAGCAAATAATAATATATTTCTAATTGCTTACCTTTTAAGATTAAAAAACTCTGCACAAATCGTATTCGTTTTACCTCCATCGTATCCGAGTGTCAAAAATGTAAAGTTCTATACCTAGCCTATAGCTAAAATAAATACATCGTTACTACTTTTTTTGTTAACAAATTGAATCCTATCTTTTTATTATTCGATAGACTTAAGCTAACCAGTGACTACCCATGCTTCTCCACCACTTCGGTCCGTTGCCACCTACTGCGACTAGATTTTCGTTATCATCATTGCCATTTTCTCTAACTATAAAAACGTTGTTCAATATGCCCCTGGGGCTTCGGAGTTGCCTTGGAATGAAATTAAACCTAAAAATGTACACCCTAAAAAAACACTTGCAGCCAAGTCAGCGCGCAAATGTTATTTCTATCACAATTTTCTCTCATTTATTTATTCCCCCACTCGCGTTTTTCCTTTCCTTCCTGTCAGGTCTCTCTCTCTCTCTCTCTCTCTCTCCGTGTCTTTTATTTGTTTCTTTTGTTCCGGTTTTGCTTTAAACAAATTCAGTTGAAATAACCCGCTAAGAACTCTAGTGAGTTGTTTACGTTCTTCGTCGTCTGCAATTTACTTTTTTACATAGGTATGATGGGCGAGGAACGCTGTGGCATATTGTTATGTTATACGTGACCCAATTATTATTCAAATCCTTTGAAAACGAATGTAGCAGTGGAGCCGTTTGGCCTGCTGCTAATTTCTATTACATTTATTTATCTAAGCGTAAGAGCCTATTCTACAGGTAGCGGATTAGGTAGCTACCCATATTAGTTAATAGTTGTCGTATGTGGAACTACTACATGATAATTGAACAACCCATCTCTACAAAGTGGAATTGATATCGTCACGTAACTAGTTTTTATAGACCCGAATTGCATTAGTTTATTATTAATTTTTTATTAAGGCAGTTACTGATTAATTAGCTGTAATTATCAGAAGGACCTAAAATTACTCACACGTTCGCTTTTATCGGCCAGTTTGCCCGGCAGCTTCCCATCGCCGTCCCGAATTCGCGCTCAATTTTTTTTCGCTAAAGTTTTATGTCCGAACTTAAAAAAAGGTTAGATTAGCGCACAGAACGCAAAACGCATAGCTAGCCCCTCTTTTTGCCCCTCACGATACTATACTATACGCCTGCGTAGGAAAGGCCTTCAACTGTTTTGATTGTATTTGCTATTTTAGTCTAAGTTACATTTGCCAGACCTGACTTTTCTTCGAAGTTACAAAATGGCGCATCGGTAACGGTTTTGCTTCTAGTCTTTTTACATTCGTTAAGGATTTAGAAGCTCTGTTTACTTTTCTAGAAGTCTCTTATTTGATACGCACCTTTTCGTGTCTCTCTGTAACTTCCTGTATTCTATTTAACTTTATCAAGTGCAGGTTATCGTTGCATTTAATCTTTAGGATAGCGTTTCTTCTTAGCGGTGACGACGGAATAAACACGTTAACAAACTAACTACGCTGAAGCAAAATCAAGGGAGCAACCAGTGTTCGTACCTTCAGCTTATACCTTCGTTTATCTATTGTGTGTACGATGGTAGAAGGATGAGGCTAGGTTCTTTTTTTTTTGTTCGCGAAATACACTTACCAATCGCTTGAGTCAGCTCGGACACTGGGATTCTCATAGAATGCAACAGCTGTTTTTGCTACTAGTTGATTGGATCAATTTACAATATGGCGCCATGTGAACTTTTGGGACATAGTAATCTTTCTCACCCTATCTATAAAATGTACCACGTAACTGATCAATTGAAAGCGAATTCAAAATAATGTACGTATAAAATGGTAACGATGAACAACGTACATAGAGGAAATGGCCGCGTGTAGTGGCCGCGGTGCGCCTCATTCAGTTATCTCGTAACGGAGACGCACGCCATGTCAGCTTGGAGTTCTCTACGGCTAGGAGCCACTACAAGGAAAAATATGCATTATGTATGTATGTATGTAGATCCATCTAGCAAGATATGTGTGGCGGCCGCCAGCGTGCTCTGTCTTTTTTTCTTCGAAAAACATATCTACTGCCACGTTCACTTGCCATCTAAGCGTCACTTCATTCCTTAATCCAACACGAACCTGAAACTATTGATTGGGACGCACGATAGCCAGTGCACGACGCAGCAACAATCCATTATAGTATCATACGCGTTTTATGTAATACTCGCATGCGTACGTAGATTCAACTATGTATTCAAAGATCATTAAGTAAACAAGAAGTTACAGTAATGGTGAAGTAGCAAGTGAGAGAAAATTCAATTGGGTATTTTATTTAGTATCGCAGTTTCTATCACTTTTTGGTCTTTCTTCACTACGGCCCACTCAGCTTTTTCCCATTTTAGTTAAATTGCATCTATGTTACCGTAGAAACTTCATTAATGTACGTGTGTAAATTGAATACTATATCATTATTTCGCTGTTTGCAACGTCAGCGGTATCGGCAACACCGCTACCATCGTTGTTCCTCGTTATTTCGGGTCAACATTAGCGCTGGGCTGGGCAAGTCACAACCTTTTCATTCTAGTTCTACTTACATACAGTCCGATAGACTCGTAACTAGTGCTTGGTTTTCCCTATCTGCACGCATAAATCCGTCAGGGTACGTGAATCGGTTTCTATGCGTCCGATGTGGATTCTGAAGTTAGTTCCACAGCTGCCGTTAACCATAGCAATAGTAGCAGTAAGAGCAACAGTTGCAACAATAGCACGAACCCAGTAACCACTGTCCTACGAATGAACCAGCGTTTTGCCGTTCAAAACAAATCACATCGGTGCTGATGCCCGCCATTCTACAATAGCCGATCTAATACCTAAGAACTACTTTTCTTTTGCTCTATCCACCGCGCTCTCAGCTACACGCATGTATACACACACAAATAAGAGTCGTACATTTGTATATCTGTTGAACTCGTCGGTTTCAGTTTCTTTGCTAGCCATGAAGGAGCAATAGGGAAATAGTATTGCTATGATATTTACGTGCCATTTGTCCACTCAGAGACAGCTAGCGACATCGACTCGTGTATGCTCAGGCAATTGCTCTACGTACATAGACATACTGTTGCAGATTCTTACGCGTCATGCACGTCGTGTCGCTGATGTAGCTGGGAACCGCCGCTTAAGCACGGCTTGGTACCGCTCATCGAATGCGTAATACGTGGGTATGGGTCATGCCAGCAGAATTGCACATCATAGGCAGTTTCTTTACTCGGGCAGTCAACGACGGAAGCAATGACCGTCTTCCTATAGTAATAATACGTTGCATGTATCACTAACACCGATGGACGCGTCTCCGGTGCCGTCCAACATCGCACCAGTCCTACTACCATTACGCCGACGATTGTGAATTGTGTTGTCCTATTCGAGTTGATCGCTGTGCCTAAACTGATTAGCGGCTGACCGTATA